TTATTAATAGTAAGTACTATTGCCATTAACCCTTTTTACTCGACCTCATGGAATCAAAAGTTATTTCATATCGCCCGAATTAGCAACTGGGCAGGCACAATTAGAAGCCATGGGAATTATATGTTTACTAATTAGATCTAGGCATGGGTATGAATTCCAGGTTCGGCACCTTATTTCGAAAATATGTATTAGCTATTTTGCCCCACTTAACCTCAAAGCCAACATTCAGAAATTTAACCTGAAAACAGCAAAATCGATTCATTCATAAGAAATTCTCCATCGCTTTTATAACGGAAACTGGCAGCCCACTTTTCCATGAGGAGAGCGTGGCCCTGTTAAATTAGATATCTTCTTTTTACAAGACAAAAAAAGACTAAATTGATAAATAGATAAAAAAACTTTTTAAATTGTAAAGTTTACTCATCGTTGAGCTTAATATGTCCAACAATATTTTTACATCTACGCTAGAAAAATATTACACAGCTATAACAGTCATGCATTTTTTATTTGTGCTTGCATGCCTTACTTTTGTCATTTAAGTAATTAAATTAAAGTTAATTATATCCACATTTGTCGCTAAGTTTAATTTTATATTAAATCGTGTCACTTTTGACAATATTAAGAATATTAGTGTTGTTTTTTAATGTTAATCCACTGTTTTTTTCCATATTGACATTTGTTCAGTAGATCAACATCCGCTCGGGCATTTTTTCGTGTTTAAAGTGTACGGGTTTTAGTGACTTTTGGCTATATTGTATCACCCTTAATCTCTTTGATTTTTCTATGTTGATTTGTGATATTTTTTGGACTCTTTAAAACTTTGCTCGGAAAGAGGATTATACCTTGATAGATGGTTCTTTGTCTTAGTTTGATCGTTTTGTCTAAGAGAGGTGAGATACTCATTGAGGCCAAGGTCAGAGTTTACACTCGTTTTGTTTTTGTGCACGTTTCAAATTAAATTGTTTGTTTCAGTTCATTTCAACTTTTATGATGCCTAGAAAATAAACAAATGACTTCTGATTTGATTTTATTGATGCAGAAATTTTGACTGTTATTTCTTTTGAAATATATGCCTACGGCAATTCGGAATAATGATTCCAACCACTGACATTCTTTGATGTGGTGTTGCCATTTATAACGTTTTAAATGAAATAAATAAATTGAAAAGTAATCTTCATATTTTAACCAGACAAAATGACCAACTTCAAAGTGATATCAATGAATTGCTAAAACACAAGAAGAACCAAAAAAAACTATTCTTGACACCAACGAAAATCAACTGAGCCTAGAAGATGAATTAATAGTATTGAAATCCTACCATCGTGTTTGCTAGAACAAAATAAAAACCCTTCAGACTCCTAAGCAGGTTCTTCGTAAATTATCGAATTTACCAACACTGTGACAGAGAGTCAAGCTGAGGTAGGGACAACATGCGCATACCATAAACGATGCCTAGCAAATGTGACAAAACAATGCCGAAAAAAATCGGTGCAAACCAGGTGGAGGCCTCATCAAGCGTTTCACCATCAACTCCATTTCTACTGTCTTCTGTGCGGTCAATTCAAACGTCTATTTCCGAACGTTTATCGGGACCGTAATACTTAGTACATCTCTAATGCAGCGAGCATCATCAAGCCCTTCATCTTCTTCAGTGAAAATGCCGGGAACACACTTACCCGATGCAACGCTATGCGATGCTACCCGACGCCTTGTCACGTTTTGGTAGGGGTGCACATCTGCCCGACGCAAACACACGCCACGTACAGTCACACAGCGTGTATCACAAATCAGTATAACAATCGCAACGCCCCTTTTGTTCTTAATGGATTATTTTGAGCAAAACCTTGTAATAAATTGTTAGTTAAATTTAATTGTTTTAAATAAAGATATTCCGGTGTTTGATCGATTTTCTGTCTAACCATCATAATTAAATAATTTTAATAAAAACCCATGAATTTTTGATCTCCTTTAATTTGGTTTATATTAAAATAAAAATGTGTGATGTTTAAAATGAGAATGTTGTAATTATTATACCGACAAAATTACATATACATAGTTTGAAATAATCTATAAAAAATACGAGTGTCCTGTTCTGACGCAACTCGACGAAAATGGTGTAATTGTATGAGCAAAACCATGAAATAAATTGTTAGTTAAATTCATTATATCAAAAAGTGGTATTCCGGTGTTTCGATCAATTTTCTACCAAACGATTAAATTGAATTTTTTTAAATAAAAACTAATGCATTTTTTATCTCGATTAATTTGGTTTATATTAAAATAAGTTCGTTGTAATTAATATATCGACAATAAAGCATGCAGTTTGAATAAAAATATGAGTGTCCGGTTCTTTTGTCTTCGACAGTACTCGATGCTACTCTACGAAAATCTGGACAATAGGGATCGCAGAGCATAGGGTAAGGTAGCGTAGCGTGGCATAGCGTCTGGCAGATGTGCACGGGGGTAATACATTCTTATGGAAAATTGGATTTTGGATTTGCGTCGGGTAGCGTACCATAGCGCTGCATCGGGTAACCCGGCTTCAGCAGGGAACACACTTACCCGATGCTACCCGACGCCTTGTCACGTTTTGGTGGGGTGTGCACATCTATCCGACGCAAGCACATGTCGCGTACAGTCCACAGCGTTTAACACAATAATCACTATTACAATCGCAACGCATCTTTTGTTCTTAATGCACTATTTTGAGCAAAACCTTGTAATAAATTGTTAGTTAAATTTTATGAGCACAACCATCTAATAAATTGTTTGTTAAACTTAATTGTTTTAAATAAAGTTACTGCTAACCATCTAATTAAACAACATTTATAAAAACGTATGCATTTTTGATCTCGTTTAATTTGGTTTACATTAAAATAACATGTTGTAATTAATATGACAAAATTATGTGTACTTAGTTTGAAATAAACTACAAAAATTATGAGTGACCTGTTCTGATGCTACCCGACATTACAAAATGGTGTAATTTTACGAGCAAAACTATGAAATAAATTGTTATTAAATTTTATGAGCAAAACGGTGTAAATTGTTCAAAAAAAAATTGTTCAAAAAAATTGTTCCAATTTTAGTTTATGTACCGCCGAAGCGAGTACAGTAAATTGTTAGTTAAATTCATTATATCAAAAATGGTATTCCGGTGTTTTTATCAATTTTCTACCAAACAATTAAAATTATTTTTCTTAGAAATCAAAACTAATGAATTTTTGATCTCGGTTAATTTGGTTTATATTAAAATAAGTGTGTTGTAATTAATATAACGACAATAATGCATGTAGTTTGAATAAAAACATAAGTGTCCGGTTCTTTTGTCTTCGACTGTACTCGATGCGATCAGACGAAAATCTGGACAGTGGGGATCGCAGAGCGTCGGGTAGGTTAGCGTGGCATAGCATCGGGTAGATGTGCACGGGGGTAATGCAACCTTATGGAAAATCGGAGTTTGGATTTGCGTCGGGTAGCATCGGGTAGGTTAGCGTGGCATAGCATCGGGTAGATGTGCACGGGGGTAATGCAACCTTATGGAAACTCGGAGTTTGGATTTGCGTCGGGTAGCATCGGGTAGCGTCGCATGACGTAGCATCGGGTAAGTGTGTTTCTGGCTTTAAGGTTCCTTCTCATCATATCTCTTCGGATCGTCATAAGAAAACTATTCTTGATCTGTGACTAATGATCTTGGATGACTAATGATCGTAAAACATACAAATAATACACTGAACGAGCTTACAATTGAAAAACAATTAATCAACGATACTTTTTCTGGCGGGTAGGATAATTGTCGTTAGTATTAACGTTATGAACAAGCAAAATTTTATGATCATTACAGCAGGTAGTACCATTACAACGAACATGTTGCACCCGTTTAAAAGAAGATTAATAAATTTTGCACTCGACCACCAGGCATTAATCTCACTTTTGTTGGATTGCTGTTTAATTGCAGCCTTTCATCCTGGTCCTGATCCATGCCTTCTTGAGTAACCTCCAGTATCTTGGTAGGAATGGAAGACCTTTCGGGAAGTTTTTCTTGGCATGTTTAGTCCCCTGGCCACATACGGACCAATATTGTTGCAAGATATAATAATAATAATAATTAATAATGAGGATTGTCTAACAGATAATGAAAAATATTAAGGGTGGCCACTTCTTTGCCTCTCAGTGTAGTGGAAATGTGTTTTATAAATGTAATATAACTTATAATGCCTTCCCACCTGGTATTAAAAGTTATGCTGATATGCTTATTCTTTTGAAGGAATATTTTATTTTAGAATGGATTTTACAATGTGAATAGTTTCCGGGATTTTTAATCCGCACTATTACGTGTCGGAAATTTATAAATTATGTATTTCAATTGACAATATACAAGTTTTTATTTATATTTATTTTGTAAGAATCTTATGATTTGGTTCAAATATCAACCGTTTGCCACAAAAGGTTTTACGGCAAATAAAATATCACTCATTGTACATCCAAAACGTCTCAAAACATTAAGTACGCCTAAAAATTATGAGGAGCAAAATGAGGAAATAATGCAGTCAATTTTAGCCAACCGTGATGTTGCATAATTTCAAGCTTTGCATGATGAAAATGTTAGTTGCATATTCTACCGTTGAAGTCTGAAAGAAATCAGATCGATAATAAAAAAATATTTAAAAAATCCGGCGAATTTATTCGATTCCAAAGGTGGTAAAAATGAGGCCATCGAAACGGAGAAACGGTCAAGACTAGGTGATAAAGCTAAAGTATTATTCCCGTTCGTCCGAGCCGAAAGCACTTCCGACCTAGTTGCGAAAAAGAGTATCATAAAAAACAAGCATGATGCAACAATTCAAAACTGTATCGGTGAAACTTTGTGAAAAACACAGAAATAAACCCCCCTTCGCCTCGGGGCATCGAGGGACGCGGAGACGGAAAGAGCCGTGTTTACATAATCCGTCTCCGATTTGATGACATTCTCAGGGTAAGATTGGATGGAAACAACTTACCTTGCAAACGGTTACGTTTGTTTGTCCTCCCCAGGTTATCGTAACCGGTTCGTACACCCGGTCGACGAATCGCGTCGACTGGTGAAGCGTCGCCAGCAGGGAAATCCAGCCGACGCATTTGAGAACACGTGGCATTGTGCACCACGTTCTGGCGACCGGAGCGTGGCACACGTATATGTACCTGTAAAATTCAATTTATTAATAATTCACTAGTTTTCGTGGTCGCTTGACCAATTAATATCTTTCAATTAATTAAGGTTTTTAGTTGAGATAAAAAAGTCAGTGTGACGGGCGGGATTCGAACCCACGATCGATACGCCACTGCTGTACCACTTGAGCTATCGTGACCTCGATCCACTCGGACACTAACTTCCCATCTCAACTCGACCTTTTGAATTTTCTCTCATTTTTGCCATATTTCAAAAAATTAAAAAAAAGGAAAATTCAAAAGATGGGGTTGAGATTGGAAGTTAGTGTCCGAGTGGATCGATGTCACGATAGCTCAAGTGGTACAGCAGCGGCGTATCTAGCCGAAGGTCGTGGGTTCGAATCCCGCTCGTGACACTGACTTTTTACCTCAACTAAAAACCTTAATGAATTGAATTTTATTAACAATCGCTTACTAGACACAACAGCAATATCGTCAAAGAAAAAGACACTACCATAATCAAATTTTTTATAGTTATACCACTTGATCTACCATCCTGTTGGTTCTGATGAGTTTCGGCATTTCGTCATCTTCAATATTTCGGTGATTTTTTGTGGAATCGAGCCTGAACCAACAAAAATCAGCAAGTATAGGCAGACCAACCTCACAATATTTGTTTTTATTTGCAATCAAATTTACTAATGTTTATCTAAGTAGAAAAGCTAGACTGTCACACATTTTCAACGAACAATTTGAACCAAAAGAAGCTACATTAATGTGAAATATGAAAATTCGAATTCACATGAAACAACCCGCATCGCGAAGATCGTCCGGGTTGACTACAATAATAGCATGTTGGTACTACGAACATCAATGGGTAATAAAAAAATTTCAGTTAAATAAGAGTGGTTACGATCATGAGTAACACACTATTATTATATGCAGCATAACCGAAAACCGTATGTACAGTTGGAAATACATGTGACATTTTTTTTTAGAAATTATATACTTTATCTCAACCTGCAAGTTGCTTTCCTACAACTAAAAACCTAATAAAACCTATTTTTAAGTTTACACTACAATTGTTGGTGTTTATTGGTCTGTGAGTCAGTGAACTGACATTGATCACATTACTGCGCCCGTCTACCTTAGCTGGTTCACGTTTCCCTCAAACTTTCTTCAATGAGCAAATGGGAAGTCAAGTATTTTTTAAAACTGGTGATTTACTCACTGAAGATGTCGTAATGCTATGGCCAAACCAGCTAGGATAGGCAGTTCGAAAGCAAACACATTTCTGTCCGTGATTTTTTATTTATTTGTATTATTCTTAATAGTTTAATTCCTTTAGTGTTTAGTTTGGTTATCGGTATTAGGCCTTTAGGGAAACCGAAGTGGTAAATTTGTTTGAAAACCATCACAACCCACACCTCGGTAAACAAATACATTCTCTTGCTGTAATAAAACTGTAGATGTTGAAATTGAAAACAATACTTAATGCAGGGGAGGAAAGGTTTAATTATATATCTGAATGTTTATGACAGAGGCCTCAAAACCTTTCTTAAATTACAAAACGAGTATGTTTAATGAGTTAAAAGTTCTATAATCAGGCGAATTTTCACTACTGGCTGAGAAATTAATAATATTTTCAGCTACAATTTTCTTCATGGTCGCTTTATTATTTTGCCCGTGCCTGGCTTTTAATTAATTGTTTTTCATTTCTAAAAGATTAATTAAATTTTCTATATCAGTTTTTCACACTTTCACAGATTTATCAATAAAATCTTCTGAATGTATATCGTATTGTGTAAACATTTTATATAAGGAGAGTATTAATTATGATTAGATAATCTATCAGATATCTAGATTTAGATTTAGATTTAGATTTAAGAAGCTCTGTTTCAAAGGTCAGTTTCCTATTTATTAGATGCGTCCAAACAGGTCTTGATTTAAGGAACTTGGATCCAAATGGGTTATGCCAGGTCAAAATGGTACCAAGCAACAGAGAAAGAGGATTAATGTTACAACAGTAATATTAATTAATGCGACAGGTTGGAAAAATAATTATTATTATTATTCGGAAATCGTGAGATGCGGTCTGGTGTGATGTAGGTTTCAGAAAAACATTTTCTCTATCGTGCCAACGTTTCGATCTTTATTGAGATCATCTTTAGGGCTCAAAGTGTTTGTTTTGTGCAGAGAGGGCACTCTCAACACGACACGCAAGAATGGCACAATTACGCAGAAAACAAACACTTTGAGCCCTGAAGATGATCTCAATAAAGATTGAAACGTTGGCACGACAAAGAAAATGTTTTTCTAAAACCTACATCATACCACACCGCATCTCACGATTTCCGAGTAATCAACGTCTAACGGCCACTAATCACCACACATAATATATTATATAAAGAAATTTACGAATCACTCTTGTTCTAAATCCAACGACAGTGGGGAGGGAGAATCATTTAAACAGTAGTTTGGTCACTGTTTTGTGTGCCTATCCTTGCTGGTATAGCCTGTCAGACGTGTTTCGGCACGACATCTTCAGTGTGAGACCTGTGTAATTTTTGTGATGTCAAGTCTCCTTCAAATAAGGTCATGAAATGGTGTGTGTCGGCGTTATCTTTGTTTGTCCGTTTCTTTGTGGATTACGTCTCGGTTTTTTATTGTTATGTTATGATCTTTCTTTGTGATCATCGGTGCTTTCGATCGGTACAGTGTTTTGCTCGGTGAAAATAATGCATGTGAACTGTTGTTAATTTGTGTATTTATGAGTTTTTTTAATTGTTGAATATGTTTTGTTTGCTTGTATGTATTTAAGAATGTCCATTTTACATCCTTTTTTTTAATGATACTTTAGTGACTGGGAGTTTTGCGGCCCTGAAAAGGATGAATCGAGACCGTGTGCGTGGCGCCCTTGGGGTGGTCTGTGACCATGAGTAAGCCGTTGACTCCACAGAGGCCGAAGGTATTGGAGTACAGCAATTAGCCGAGGGGCAGCAGTTGGTTTACGGCCAAGTCGGCTGTTTAGAAGGCGAGATCATTCTAATGCTGCGATTATTTGCTGTCGTCGACGGTGTTCCTTTAGTGATGGCTCGTCAGGTTGACGAGTCTAGTGTAGTCGATTATTAGTGATGTATGAGCCCTCGTCGGGCTGACGATCCTGCTGTCGTTGTTGCCGATGTCGGTTACATTAGTGATTGGTGAGATCTCGTCGGGTTGACGAGTCTGATTCCAGCGAGGCAGTGCCCCTGCTTATATAGGGAAGAGCTCTACTCTGATTGGCTGCAGAGTGTAGGGCGAGAACATTCCATAAGTCGTAGTGGCGTCTAGCGGTAACGTGTGTAGCTACAAGTGGCCACTACAGATACAATTCCGGACTTAGATATTATAGCATAGCAATATACCTTATATAACAGTAGAAAATAATGTTACATTTGTGAAGACATATTTTGTAATTTTTTTTTCTTTATTGAAGGACCCTGCAGCCTGCAGAGAAAGGTTTCTCGATGTGTCCCACCTAAATGAAGGTTGCATTCCCTTGGCCATATAGAAAGCGCATAGGAATGTCACCCGATAAGAGAATTGTGTGTAAACAAGGCAGCGAGTATCTAGGTCCCCTGTTCCGATTCTTGAAGTCAACAGGGTTATTTTATAGTATATAATGTTCTGTCACTAGAGAATGTTGGGAGTGAATGAACTTATTAGCGTAACTGTATGTGAGAGGATCAATGGCGGAATATTGAGTACTCCATTTATTAATGAGATTGGCTACATAATACGTGTCGAAGGTGATGGAGAAACATTAAGTACTCCACCATCATAATTGAACGGTGAAATTCTTTGGCTCCATATAGAGAGCGCGTAGGAATGCCACTCGATGGAACAGTTGTGCTTAGCATGGCAGTAAGAATAGGGTCTCCTGTTCCAATTTTTGCAGAAAGTAGGGTTGTTTTATTTTATATAGTAATGATAGTTTTGTGTATATCTTGTGAATGTTATCTATTGGGGAGAACGTGTCGTGTGAGAGGGACAATGGCGAAATATTGAGTATCCTATTCCACCACCTTAACTAAGTAATAGGAAAGTGTGCATTTAAGCATGTGTGAATCGGTTTGGATTTAGAAACTGATTGCATTGGGGGCTGGAACGATCTAGCTGTTGAAGTTCAATAAATAACACCTAATTAGCTTATTTAAAGGCCCACGAATTTATGCCAGCACACGAAATATACGATAACTTTTTGGAACGTGAACCATAGGTTTATAAATCAGAAGGAATCAATTATTCTGTGTGTAGCTTTGGGCACGAAGTTTTTTGTGGGTTAGAGTTCTCAGACGAAGCCCCCATTATGTAAAATTTTGCACCTCTTCTCATGCTAATGGGCAGAACTTGATAAAAATCTTTGTTTGTATAATTAATTAGATACTATTAGTTCGGTTTATATTAAAAAAACTTTGATTAATGTAACAATTCGGAAAACCGGAAGAAAACGGGACTTAAAATTGCCATGAATAGTCTTAAAACATTATTTTGTTAAATACATAGCGATTATATCAAAACAGAAAACGTCTATATCTGTTTCTAAATAGGAATAAAATAAAACAATATAAAATCAAGTCCAACAATCTGTAAAAACGGAAGAACAATCCAAGCGAGTGACTCCTCAGCTAAAATGAAAATAATTCAACCACTACAGGGTTTCAAGAAATTCAATATAAACAACAGCAAAAGTAATATTTTTGTTGGAGAGTGCTGCGTCCACAAACGTTTCACCCAAACTCTGCCGTTGTGAAATTGAAGTTTAATAGTCTTGAATAAACATTATTCGACCCGGAGTTTTCTCAGTACAAAAGGACTCGGCTAACATACTCGAGAGCCGAAGTGCCTCGTCCTTCTAAGTCCAACCTAATACGATTTTATTAATTCCAATTTGTTCTATTCGGCCTTGTTTGAGGATCGTACCATCGACACTTTAAACTATCTAGTGAAGGTTTGTTGAGGGTGATGCACTTCGCTATTTTTCTTCGGTAATAATTTC